AACTAAAACAAAACCGACGGTTAGGGTTTGTATTTTTTAGAAACCAAAAATATGGGGTCGGTTTCGGTTTTTAGGAATGTACACATCGAGAAAAACTGAACCAAACCGATTTTATATAGTATATATGTATTTAGTGAATTATACATGTTTATATTGGTATTATGCGACTTATAATCACAAAAAGTGCTCTAATCTGATGGTTAAGGCGTTGGCGCTTTGTGCAGCTGACACATTCCTCTACCTCTCAACTCCTCTCTCCAGAGTCCCACACCTCATTATCTATATAGTAAAAAGTTGGTTTGATCTTTCATTGCTAAGAGTATAAGCCTAAAACCCATAAATTAATTTGAGTGAGTTTAAATCTGAAACCGAACCGAGAAAAACCAAAAATCGGGAAACCGAACCCATTGGTTTCGGTTTGGGTTTGCTTTAATTTTTTGAAACCGAAGCTTGTCACTTTGGGTTCAGTTTTAGGTCAAAATCGACATAAACTGACCCATGCTCACCCCTAGTACGGGATATGTTTAAAACCTATTCATGTATGTATCTCAAGAAGAAAGAAGGAATAGGGACCACAAGAAGTAGTTACTATTTTAACAGAAGTTTTGGATGTGTTATAAGCTGTTAATATAGATTTTCTTTTATGTACTTCCGCTTATGTAATTTTGTTAAACCATAATGAAATAAAAGGTTTTATCCTACTAAAATAAAGAGTACTAAGGATAAATGATGGTACCCACATGATTGGGGAATCACAAGTTGGTATCAAAGCATTAGCTTAAATGAAGTAAGTTTTCCTTAAATAAAATAAGGAAAAATGACATTGAAGCCCTAGAATGTATTCCACATTTGCCCATTTAGTCTCGTATGTTATTTCCGTTCCTTAAGGGAACAAAGTAGGTAGTGAACTGTCACATTTGGGACCTCTTCATATAGTATATAGTTTTCTTGCCATTTCAAAGTAAAAATCGGATAGTAAAAGTCAAAATCATAATGTAAACAGGAAAAACATCGTTGGACTGTATCGAGTTGGAGTGGATCGACTTATGCTATCGATACTGTAACTTTTGCAATCGAATATCTCCGATCGTTCCGTCTATCGACTTCAACTGTTGTATGGACTTCGAATGCTTTCTATTTCTACAAAATGATATTCTTTGTTGTTTTGTAATTGTAATATGACAACTTCAATGGAGATGGATATGAATCTCGATGAAAAAGGCGATGTGAAACAGAATGTTAATGATGATGGAGGGAGGAGGAAGACGAAAGGTTCCGATTTTTCCAAAAACCTAAATACAATTATCGTTGATCCATAGCAAGTTCAGTTCTAAGATACATCAAATTACAACTTGTAAAAAATTATGCCAAAAAACAAAACCCAATTGCTTCAACTACCAATTTTGGCTTACCACCTCCTTCAAGCAGATATTCGGGCTCTGATTTTGGATTACCACTTCCCTCAAGCTTTGATTTTGGACTTCAACAGCATGCACATGATTTTCAGCCTCATCAACCCACAAAAGAAACCCATTCCTAGGTCCGTGCAGATTTCGATGTCATCAATTAGCAAAATTAGGTTAGAATTGAAAAAGCCCAAATATTTCTTGAGAACGGAGTACCATATTCGGGCAAACATAGTATTCCCTACCAAGATTCTTCTTAGTGGTGGAAGTCCTTATGATTTCCATGCTTCCACAATCACACCTCACCATAATTTTCCTGTTCGGATGCATCAAAAGAAGAAAAACGAAGGAAATGAAGAAGAAGACGAGAAAAAGAAGGAAGGAAGGAGGTTGAGAAAAGGAAGGAAGGAAAATTTCTCAATGAAGCCGTTGCAGAAGGAATCTGTTGCAAAGATTGGTCATTGGTTAACTAGTCAGCGTTTTGGATGAGGAAGTCACCGACTGACCCCTTAAGTTCTTCGAAAAGGACCAAATCGACCCGACAAAAAAAACTTTATTCCCTTAAAAGGAACATAAATAACATAAGAGACTGAATGAGCAAATGTGTAATACGTTGTAGGGCTACAGTGTCATTTTCCCATAAAATAACTTAGACTTAAACTGAGAACACTAAGTTAAAAAAAATATGATGATTTCATTGATAATTAATCTTTTACGTAACCATATGAGATGGTGTCCAGAAAGTTGAGGCGATTGTGGATTTTTCGAAAGGTCATTGGATTTCATATACATATACCGAAAGGCACCTGACCTCCATGATACCCCTTGGCCATTCCATGTGAAAACAAAAGAGAATAATGAAAAGTGGCAATCTGAATAGTTTTTTTTCAAAGAAATATAAATAAACATATATAGATATACGGATACACCTTAAAACATTTTATCTGTAATATGCTCCACTCAAAAACCTGAAACGACATAAAAATGTTAGCAGTACGGAAATTCTAGTGAAAAACATGAGCAAACCAATATTTACACTAAAACAAACACGAATGAATAAAATATGGTACAAAACTCTACTAAAGCTAATATAAAAGAAGGAAGCCTATTGAATTCCAAGTTGGTGATAGGGTGGTACTGAAGGTATCATCTATGAAAGAAGTCCTACGTTTTGGGAAAACGGGTAATCTAGGACCACAATATATCAGACTATACAAGATAATTAAAAAGATAGGAGTAGTGGCGTATCAACTTGAATTATCAGAAGAATTGAGTGGGATACACAATGTGTCATATTTAAAGAAATGCCTTGTTGATGAAGATGTAATCCTAGTTGATGACAAACTCAATTCTATAGAAAACCTGATAGCCGATAGCCGTCACATTACATAAAGTGAGAAAGCTTTAAAACAAGGAGGTATCATTGGTATTAATTCATTGGAACTGTTATCATGGATTAGAGGCAACATTAGAGATGGCAACGGGGGCGGGGAATACAGGGGACCCCAATCCCCATCCCCATCCCCATCCCCATCCCCATCCCCAAATTCTCATTCGAATCCTCATCCTCATCCCCATCCCCATCGGGGAATATAAATAAACCCCCATCCCCACCCCCAACGGGGACTGGGGATACCCATCGGGGAATCGGGGATTTCTTTTCCTCATTTAATATGAAAAGTTGTATGTAAAAGAAAACTCTAAATTTCAATTTTACCAGCATAAGTTTAAAGATTTTACAAAATATAAAAATATCCATAGATTGCATAAAAAATATTAACAAATTTCCTACCAAATTCAAATAAACACATGAAAAATCAAGTAGAAAAAAATTATCAGAGTGATATTTGAGGAAAAATAGATAAACTAAATAGTAAAAAAATTATATACGAGTTTAGATTAGATAAAAGAAAAAGAAAAAATTTAATTTCAACCAGGTAATTACTAATGAGTTATGTTACTTGGATCAAATTTTATGTATTGTAAATTGTACTATAAATATATGTTTTGTATTATTTATATATATATATATTAATATATATCAGGGGCGGGTCCAGGGTCGGGGATTAGGGGTATCCCCATCCCCATCCCCATCCCCACTTTTTTATTCGGGGATTCCCCATCCCCGTCCCCATCCCCATCCCCTGTCAACTTGGGGATTCCCCAGTCAAAACGGGTGCGGGTTTCAGGTTCCCCATCGGGTATGGGGTTTTTTGCCATCCCTAGGCAACATGGGAAGTAGAGTCAGAAATACAGAATAAATATCCACACCTTTTCAAGTAAAATTTCGAGGAAGAAATTCTTATAAGGGTGGAGAAGTTGTAACAATCCTGTTTTCAAAACAGGTACTGTTTTCACAAATATATATATATATATATATATATATATATATATATATATATATATATATATATATATATATATATATATATACTAGTCATTTACCCGCGCCAAGCGACGGATGCAAATAGTTTTTCATAAATTATTTTCTACACTTGTTTACCTTACACTTGTAATCTATGCAGTCTACTCTCTCGGCACTATTAGTTTTATTTCGGCGAATATTTTCGTTTTAGTGATTACAACTTGCGTTGGGGATCGATTATGTGAATAGTTTATATGCAATATTGTGATAGCCATGCAATACAGAGTGATAGACAAATGATTAAAGGAATTGCAACATATGTAATGGAGGTGCTCAAAACATATGAATCCGAAAATAAGGTAGACAATTAATAGTTTTGTTTGGTGAATAGTTGCATGCCAGGAAATAGTTTGCTTTCGTCATTTATTGTTTTTTTTTTCTTTTTTTAGAAATATGTCGTTTTTTTGGAAAACATTCAATGTGATGTATTGTTTCAATTTTGATCGAAAATATATGGTGATTATTTATATTTCTCGTATTTTTTATTTCATAATTTTATGTTTTTATAATCTCATTGAAAAAAATGGTTGGACTTGAACTTCTCTTATAAATTGATATATAATAAAAATATAATATTTTATCAAGAAATGTTACTATTTTTTAAATTTCATGTGTAAATTGAGTTATATAACTTAAATGATAATATTAAATCCATTGTCATGTTTAATGATACATAATTTCTAAATTGTATGTGTAAAGTAAAAATACAAATATACATATTCCGATTTATTATTTTACATTCATGTTTCCAAGTCAAAATTTGAGGACTATGAAACATATTTATGTTTTCATTATATGAAGATATTTCATAGACATTTTGTTTTAACTCTTATAATGTCTATAAACTGGAAGCCATGCTTTGTCATTCTTATTAGAAAAAAAAAATTGTATTTATCTATTTGTTTCAATTTAAAAGTTATACTAATTAGATATAAGTAATCGGTGAACGATTGTGATCCTATTACATACATGATTATAATGTATAAGTAATAAACTAACGTATACATCAAATATTTAAAAAAAAATACTTTCACAAATAACACGTATTACTAACAATACTTAATAAGCAAAACATGAAAACAAAAAATCAATATAAAACAAAATGCTCACATTATCTTTTTCTGTTATTCAGTGACAACTTACCCAAAAGAAACATGATTTTGACAATGTTCTATTCTCTTCTTCCAATATAATTTAATATTGAATAATAAACAACAAAAACACACATAAAATGAAAAGAAAATTAAATACATTATTGTTATATCACATATCTACACAATGATTAATAGGAAACCTGACCCCAACACCAGTTAAGTAAAAGAACATTAGACCTCGTTTAACCAACTAATAGAGAAACCAATTCCACCCGATGTTTCATTTGCAAGGGATCTATTTTCCATAGGAAATTTTTATGGTCTATGTTCAACCAATCAACCTGAAAAGTCAAAATGCACGGTATATGTTTAAGCTGAAAAGTCAAAAGCCAAAGGTTAAATTCAATAATTAATATCACTTTCATTAGTTTTATCATTATAGCGCCCTACTTTTATTTCTTATTATTGCAACCGTTTAGAAGATCTAGCCACACGTAACTTCATCCATATACAAAACATTTAGTGATGCTATACTTGGGTAGATTTTTCAAAGTATAATGTCCAAATAAGAAAAGAACTAAAACTACAATGTTAATGCTAAGTAGATTCTTTTACCTGTGTAGTGTAAATAAGAAAAGAATTGAGAGTACATGTTATTTTGACCTAAAATGTTGGTTTTTTTATCCACAAGGTGGAAGCATGGCAGTCTTTTAATCCAAAGTACATGCTCTTAAATATTTAAAGGAAGTACCAAGTTTATTAGGAAATACCTTGTAGCTGATGTAAGAAATACATTGATCCAAAATTTCTTGTAGCCAAGAAAACATCAGTTTTAGGTAACTATCCTGCCATTGTACCTGTTTATAGTAACATATATCACATGAATAACCTTTAAAATGTACCTTTTTATTATTGTCATGTTAAGAGACTACAAGATTTGCATCGTCCTATAAAGAAAAGACTTGATAATTAACAATTTCAAGCCAAGATCAAAATCCATTAATCATGTTTTAGCCGACATGGTTAGATTGTTGGAAGGGTTTATGAGTATCAAGTGTAGATTTTGAAAACAATAATGCTATAATTTACAAGCACCCAAAAATGTAAAAAGATAAAGGAGAAGCTCATAACCTGATAACCCTATACCTATATAACAAAAAGCATATGATAGGATTGTAATAGACAATCTCTTCAATTTTCTAATTGCATATGTACAACAGGTGTTTCTTGATCTAGCAGCCATCCTCGACTCTTTAAAAGAGTACTCTATTAAAAAACAACAAAATATATAGCTATATTAACATTTGTTTTTGAAATAAAAAATGATATATCACAAAATATGGATTAGAATGAAACAAATAACCAAAAAAATGCCAAAAACAAACAAAAAATATATAAAAGAATCTCACAATCTTTATGATTCTAGAAAAGTTAAAACACATCCTGTGGAAACTCTCTCGATTTACCTTCCCTGAGAGAAATTACACCACCACTTAGACCATGCTTTTGTATCGTCTTTTTAAATATTTCTGTAAAAAAGAGCCTGTGACAAATCACAAAAGTCAAAATGAACCAGAACCCAACATCATCTCTTGAACTATAGCATATAAAACTAAGGAAAAACAGCAAAAAAATCCATTCAACCATAACTAACAAATTAGTTTTTAATTTTTCCCAAACAAAATACAATTAGTAAGTGCTTCAAACTTAAAATCTGATTTACTTAACCTGAAATTGAAAATAAATGAACAAACAACTACTTGCACAAAAATGAAAAAAACTCAAATACATCTCAGGTTCATCTCCTGACAAAGACCTGTTTCAAGATCGACTTATGTGTGTTTCACACAGAGACTCGCAATGTAGAATAACCTGATAAGAAAACACCAATTATCACATAAAAATAAGAAAACTATAAAAAAAACAGAAATAAAGAGAAACATTAGAGTGGGTTGTTTCTACCTACATAGAAAACAGAACTCACAAAAACCCTAGATGAAGAAGAAAGCCTAGGAATAGAAAGGATGATGAAGAAAGCGTATCTTTTTTGTAAGGTTATATTGGAAAGCCTGCAAAAAACATATGAGCATACATAAACAACCTTACATTTTAGTTATATCAACACATTTAATCAAAATTGTTAAATCCTATGGAGCCTAATAAGAAAGACAATCCTACATATCAGAGTCTACAATATAAATCATACATTCAAATACAGGAAAGCTATATTACCTTCAGTCAAAGCTATAGAACCAGATATAAAAATAAAAATCGAAGCTATATTACCAATATTCAAAAATCCAAATAAAAGGTTAGGGCTCTTCGTTTTCAGCACATCAATGGTGTGGAGATGAGGATGTAATCGATGGTGAAAGTGTTTATGGAGACATCAATTTTGAGACATTAGATGCACGCCTTAATCACCGCCAACCACAATCCTCCACTACTGAAAATCGCAATCTATTACAGCCTCCTTAAACTACCGTTGTCACCTCCGTGAACCTCACTTTCCAGCCGATGAACACCGCAGCACCATCGAGAACCAAAACCATAACCTTTATCGGACCAACAAAGAAGAAAATAAGAAGAAGTAGGCGTCTGTTTTTTTCTTTGTGTTTGGCCGCAAAAGAAAACACACCAAAGTCCTGGTGGTTTTGATCCGATGGTGATGTAAAAGTCCTAGAGGGTTCAGATCGAGTTTTACCTACTTCTTAGAGAAAGAGAGAGTGAAGGATAAGAAAGTATTGAAGTTGTTAGTAGTTCAAATCTAGAGCGGCGATGGGATCGAAAGAAAAAAAAACGTCTCCACATGTTTGATCGTTCTCCCTTTTAACCCCCATAAAAGTCATAATCTTCTGGTGGTGGAATGGGTAACCCTCCGAGCATCAATTGCATAAGAAACCGGTATTATTTCTTTGAATTGAAAAGGAATCAATGGATCGGGATGAGTTACGACACAGGTGTTGTCTTTAAAGACAATTCGAAGAAGTGATCCATGGATGAGAGTGGCCGGTAAGGATGGTGTCGGCGATGGTGAAAGGGGTTAGGTTTACAGAGCGTTGAATGAGTTTGGAGAGAGTATATTTTCAGTTTATGGAATTCAAATTGCCATTCTCCAATGTTCTGTGTATTATAAACTACAAATTGGGCGGATAAAGGGGAAAGAAAAGGTCAAAGATAAGAAGAGAAATGAAATAGATAGGTGAGCCACCTGGGTCAAACGTTTGAACGATTCAGTTGGCCACAAAATAGTTTTGATAGTTTGAGGTATTTAGATAAGATGTTGACGGAACTATTTTTAATGCATAAAGTTATTGTACATATTGTATAAAAACTTGTACCTCTTAAAATTGATAAGATTGTTATGGTATGCCATAGTTATGGTGTTATGCATCAAATGTTAACATTGCTTTATTAAAAAAAACTTGTATCTAAGGATATTATAGACATTCTTATTAAACATTAAGCAAGGAAGCTGCTATTATTTGGACGGTTACACTTTTTTATTTTTCAAATCCATATAAGCTAACATTTTATTATTATTATTATTTTTTTTACTTTTTCAAAAGAAAAACAGTTTCAAATCATATAATATTGAACACGCCATTTCATTCTTAAAAAAATGACTATGGTCAAGTGATTGTTTAAGAATTTACATTCTTAAAGAATATACAATTTTCATCAAAATAAAAATAATTCTTATTGCAAGGTTGACATATTGATGCGTGATGATTAGAATAGTTAATATTGATATTCTCATAAGACGTTTTTGATAAATGTTTTAGAGCCAGGACCACTTTGTAGGTTTGGAGAATTTAAGCATTCTTAGAATTGATGAATAAAAGTTATTTATAGCTCCGTAACACTACCCATTTTTTTATACAACTTAATATTCTTGAAGAATTGAACAGTTAATATTAACATTTTCACTTATTTTATGAGAATGAAAGAATAAAACATAAATTACAAATATATAACTAACATTCTTAAAGAATAACACATGAACTACAAATAATTTAACATATTTCATGCATTATACAAATGAAGAATTCTTGAAGAATTTGAAGTGTTCTAGCTCTAAAACACCACAAATGTTTTATATAACTGGAAAAATTCTTGACAGATATCGTAGTATGCATTCTTAAAGGATATTGCAACATGCAGTCTTAGAGAATATCACAATATGCATTCTTAAAGATTATCGCAATAGGTATTCTTAAAGATTAGCGTTAGCAACTTCCTTTTGATAATCGCACTGTAGGTCCTCCCATTCAACTTTAAACAACTGCAAAATAGATTTGAAGATTTAATTGTCATAGCATAAAATTAATTAAAACTAGAATTTTAAACTATTGCTCATAATTATCTCTCACATATAAATTGTTCCATAGTTATTTTATTGGAGAATTTTATCAATCACTTTTTGTTCTTAAAAAAAATAAAGAACTTAGGTTTAGTGAAATCTTGGCCTACAAAGTTACCAAGAAATTATCCCATGACTCATAGACACCTTGTGGGTAGTTTCCTAAGCTCTTTGAAGTTCTTCAAGGAAGACACTACTAATTCCACCTAAGAAGCTATCAGTTAATCTAGAAAGTGGGGTAGACCGTCAAAAAATCGAACGCATTTGAAAAAAACGATTTAGTACACCATTATTTGAGAATATCTATGACACTTCAATAATCAGAAAGAAAAACCATTTTAAGTTATCGTAATATAAAAAAATATAAAAGAAAAAACATACATTGCTTCCAAACTTTAATCGAGAAAATCCATCATTGATACTTGTGTTAATTTCTTCAGCATCGAGAAGCATCTTGATAGCAAATTCGAAAATGGGCGTATACGATAACTTCACACAAACTGATGTGAAAAATTGATTATTCATATGGTCAATTCGGAATTGAAAATATGTATATACAGACTCTTTCATGTGATTATTTAATGATTTTGTAAAAAAAATTATGCAAGGATTAAAAAGAATGACGATACCGACCTAAAACCTAATTCCACGAAGATGATGATTAAAACCTATAACATGGTTTGAAACATTTAGTTGAATTGCTTCCATATATATCACCAATTTTAATTTAGGTAGGCTAATCAGATAAAAGGGAAATGTCGATCATACCCTCGGAAGATTATATAAGATATATGGTTGAGTTTTGGTCATACAGTCTGTAACTAAGGTTTATACATGAACCCAACACACACACACACACACACTCTCTCTCTCTATATATATATATATATATATATATATATATATATATATATATATATATATATGGGAAAAGTGAATATACATTACAGCCCCACCTAAGCTTATGTACTAAACCTTATGAAAATACATTGTTTTACTATATAAAGATTGCAATTAGGCGATTCACGATTAACACTTGAAGATGTAGATTCATTATGTACACAATAGTTTTGATAAGGAAGCAAGAACATTGATTATCTTCGACCTTCGTGGCGATGGAAAACAATACTATTTACTAGGGTGAAGTGATAAACGATAATGGAGGAAAGAAAACAAGGATGATAAAACAATAATGGAGGGAAGAAATGTTATTGGGGACGATATATTTACCAAGTGAAAACCAAATCGAATATAATTACCAAGTTAAAACGATATATTTTAGAGGTTTAGTACCTAAGCTTAGGTGGGGCTATAATGTATATTCCCTATCCCCTATATATATATATATATATATATATATATTATATATATATATATATATATATATATATATATATATATATATATATATATCTATATGAGTTTGATCAAATGAGAACACCAAAAAGGTTGAGAACGCGAAACAAAGTATATTCATTTGCGATTCCATGTATTCATTTGTGGAGAAATGATAATTTTTACGCCTTTAATTTCAACTGAAGAGAAAAAGCATATTCATGTTGATTGTGCGTAAAAATTTATCATTTATCTACAAATTGATACATAAAATCACAAATGAATATACTTGTTCTCGCGTTCTCAACCTTTTAGGTGTTCTCATATATATATATATATATATATATATATATATATATATATATATATATATATATATATATATATATATATATATATAGAGAGAGAGAGAGAGAGAGAGAGAGAGAGAGAAATAAATGTATATATTTGCATATTAATAGAGCTAAAGAAGTCTAAAGCTTTACTTGACAATATAATGACATTGACAACAATGGGGGCCATTTGAAAGTTTTTGTTATGGAAAAATAATATAAATCGTCTTTTCAAGAAAAGTTCAAAATAAGAAAACAAGAACACAAGTAGCTTACCATATACTTATATCATGCTTACAAAGGTGCTTAAAATTACCACAACACAAGCAACAAGCCACCTCGGCATAGTACTACAAAGAGTAGTGACCAAGTAAACCATATGGACCACAAGAAGTAGTTACTCAATAAATTTAAAGCATACATTTTCATGTATGTATCTCAGGAGAAAAGAATGAGAATGGACCACAAGAAGTAGTTATTATTTGAACATAAGTTTTGGATGTATTATAATATGTTAAAATACATTCTTTTATGCATTGCCGCTTATGTAACTTTGTTAAATCATAATGGAATAAAAGGATTTATTGGATTTATTCTAGTGAAATAAAGAGTACTAAGGATAAATGATGGCACCCGCCGGATTGAGGCGTCACAATTTGCATTCTAAATTCAAAGTTTGTTTAATTTAGAGCAGTAAATTAATTAAAAAAAACATGTTTTACTTAGATTAATACCGAATTCTTGTGGATCAACCATGTTTCAACTTTCAACTGCTACAACTAATTTGATATCATATTGGTGCCAATATGTTCTTATAGGTTTCGTAAATCATCAATTAGTGACATATGTTAATTTGGCAACTTTATCTTAAAAAAAAAATGAAAAATCAACTTTGTTGACAAAATTTCTGGAGCAAGAAAGAGGATAACAAAATTGAGGCATAACTTCATTTGCACGCAATGTACTTTTCCTTTCTTAATGTGATCCTTGTAGCGTCTTTATCTAAAACGACGTATCTAATTCAAAATGCCAAAAAAAAAAAAAAAAAAAACCAAGATAATTCACCTTATTTGTCCAAACTTACTTACTTTTCCAAACTTTATTGTCATTTTGGCATTATTACAAAAAGTTTTTGCACACGCACACACAAAAAAAAAAAAAAAAAAAACCAAATATAATGATTCATACCCTCTCCTCCTAAACTTAGCATCTGCTTGATTGGATGGAATTAAATGGCAAAAGGAATGAAATAAACAAAATAATGGAATACATAGGATAATGAAATAACTCATTACATTCCAAGATCATAATATAAGCTTTAAGTTCATTAAAACCCAAAAGAGATCATAATAGAAAAATATATTTCTAGTTATTTTTAGAGAATAAAACTGTAAATTAAATAAAATTATGACTTTTCTTAAAAAGATTTGTCATTAAAATTACATAGGTTATAATTATATTGTAAATTTTAGCTTAAAGTTCCGGTCAAGAATAAAGTTAATTGCCACAACACATTTCAAGTAAATCATATTATTTCCAAATTGTAGATTACATATAACAATAAGTATCAATTTTTGACTATATACATCGTATTTATCAACACTAAACATATAAAAAACCTTACATGACTATTTTTCTTTTTTGTAAGATAACTAACATGACTGCACAGGGTTAAAGAAGTAAATTAGCAAACTTACCTGTGTCCTCGAATAACATGACATTAATGATCAAATAACAGAAGACTTTCCATATAATTAATATCAACTGCAGATCGACTAAAAGAGATTCCAAGATCATGAACTTGAGTTTCCAGGCTTTCAAGATCAAAAGAAACAAGCTTTTTCTCCAAATTAGCATAAAGAAATTTCCCACTTTTTGTAAATCCTATAGTCCACCACACACCTCTGTTACACTGAATTGTGTACGCTTTTGTCCAACTTTTGCTATATTCATTCATCTTCCATAACACCAAGATGTCATTTTGTCCACCAAAGAACTTTGAGTAGATAGCAAATAAAGAACCAGATGATCCCCTCACTGACAAAAGAGAAAATGGAAAATCAACAGAAGGCTGTTCAATCTCTTTGAATTTCTCATTGTCAAGATCAAATGACATGATGTAATTCTCCATTGGATCATCACGAATGCTCTTGAAACCCATCCAGTAAAAAAAACCCTTGTGAAATGTCACTACACTTTGAGTAACAATGGGTGGAACTTCAGTGCGAATTATCCTCCATGAATCTGTTTTCAAACTGTAAACTTCAACCAAAGGTGCGGCATCCACAGAGGTGAAATTACGGCACTCTGGAAAGTAAATCAGTCTGATAACTTTGTAGTCGTTTGTCGATTCATGAAACCCGAATCCCAAACGAGAAACCATCCACCTTTCGTCGGTGAACTCATCGGAAAATTGTGATGGTGGAAGCTTTTTATGGCTTCTGATTGATGGATTCCAGATATACACATCGTTCCCCAAATTATACTCCAATCCAGGTGCTAAGCATAGCAATCCGTTACACGAACCGATGAAGTTTAACGATGATTTTCGATTAGGTCCAATAGCGAAAGGGGTTTCAACAGCGTAGAGCGATTTAAAACTTCTATCGCAAACTATATGGCAGAAATTAGTGCATCCCAATAGAACATATCCATTATCGCGACACTCTGGACGATAATTGCCATTTGAATTGAAATGTAAAGCGACGAAATTAGGGTTTCTAATAAGAGCGTACCATGATTTACAAACAGAGGTACATCGAATTAGTGTTTTGACTGGTAATCTCAAGAATATGTCGATTACGAGCTCCGGTGGTATGAAATAGCTTGAATCATTCATTTGCTCCGGCATGACGATTGATTCTGATTTCTATGAATTGAAATCTTGAAACTAGAAGAAGACACAACACCGTTGAACACTTTACAGACTCGAAGCATTCGGTTCTTTTATGCTTGACTTGAAAATTTGCATAACTAGTCCCTATTGTTTGATATTTTTGTAGTTTTGATGGAATGTTATAAATATTTTATTTGTTGGTCTATGTTACATCCTTGCCAAAGATGACTATAACATAAGTACTACTTTTAGTATTTTATCAAGTGTTTTATTTGGAAAAAAAACCTATACATTTTTAATTACAATAAGCAAATGCATCATTTTTTATTAAAAAAAATCTGAATTTACCAATTTATTATTTGACGATAATTACAAGATATTTATAAGATTTAAGATTGATTATGGTATACAAATTTTTTCCAATTTATTTTGTTAGGAGATTGATTACTTATTTGATTACTGTTATATTTTATTCGTAGGAGTGAATGTCGTGTGAAACGCTTTACATATAACGTAACATAACAAAATAATAGAATAAATGTTCCAGTCTAGTTTCAAAACCATTCTAATAACATATTATGTTCATTCCTTTACGACTTCCATATATGGGTTGTATGAATTTAATTAAAAAAAAGTCTTTTTGGTCTTTAAGTCTGGCTTGCCAAGTTTTTATGAAAATAGAACGAGAAATCCCACAATCATTTGAATTCCGTCTAGTTCTCTTAAGTGAGGACAAATGTTTCCATCCAAAGGCATCCTGTTAAAGTTCGATACATTCTATTATGACTAAAACCTTGGTGATTAGTTGGCCAAAAAAGATGAAAATTTGGATACTTTATCCCTTTCACCATATTTCCAAACCAACTACAAGGTCCTAAGACGCATGGCATGACAAAGGAACATGCATTTTGTACTTGTATTATACTCCGTACATTTGGATAGAGATGGTCCATTTGTATGGGATATATCCTTCATTAGTTTTTAGTGGGAGCAACTTGTATCTTGTTTGACTACTAGCCACAAGGACGATTTGTTAGTGTGATAACGTACTAAACTTTCCACAAAAGACCTATCAAGACAAAATTCTTTATATGCAGTGGAGTGATCCCAAATCTATATTTTTTTTATTTGTATACGAGTCGATTTCAACTCATTTACATTAAAATATTTAAAACGTAATCTTTAATTTTTCATCTTTTTATGAAAACATATTTACCATTTGTTCTTCACTAAAAACATCATTTTTAGAATCTTGAATTTCGAGATTCAGATGTGAGAGAACAAGGATTGCGCGGGCAATGTTTGAGAACTCAAATCTTGAATTAAACACAACAAAATCGTTGTTGATAATAAAGTTTCAATCAAGTCTGGTAAACCAGTCAAGTCTTGAAGATGATAACTCAACAAAGTATTCAAGATGATATGATAAGTTATAAAATAAGAACAAGAAGAATGTTGAGATTTGACTGAATGATTCTTGATTTGATATCACAAGGTAAAAGGTGAAAAAGGTTGTCAACCAAAATACACGGGTTGGTCTTATTTATACAAACCTAGGACCAATCAAATACTACGACAAGTGTACTATAAAGCTGACACATGAAGGTTTGACTTTATCGACTTCATGCAAACATACAAACATAACATGATAAAATAGTACAATAGAATCATTCAATCTCATGACAACAAATTTCGTTGGCTACTTCAGAATGTTTATCATCTCAGAATCGTCATCATCTCGGACATACATCAGCTCAGATTGGGAACTTCAGATTGACAAAGATCACTTGTTATGAATCAACAATCCCCCCTAAGTGATCTTGACAATGGACGAGCTTTTACACTTGATCTCCAGAAACGAATAGGTAGACATTTTGCAGCCAGTTCCAGACTTTGATCCACCAGCTAAGTTGTTTGATCAATTGTTCCTTTACTTGCTCGGAAGCTTCAGACTTGACTGTCTTGGCGATTATCTTCTAAAGCACACTGGTGTGAACAAATTGATTTGCCCATCTCTAAAGAACTTTTTCTTCTCTGAATTCTTCTTCTTGTAAATATATCCAAGTTCTGGTTCGGAAACTGGACCTTCATCTAGCAAGTCGATTTCCAATGAGGTGTCAATTGGATCAAAGAGCTTGTCGGTCTTGAATAGAGGAGCAAACTCAACTTTTGATCGTCCAAACTCAACAATGTAGTCCTTCCATGCTTGTTTCACTATCCTTTTTGTCCTTGAGATGAGCTGCAATCATAAGAACATCATTTTGATTTATTGTCAGAAAATCAACATCCGAAATGGTAAACTGCTCCTAGGAATTCTAAAAGATATGGTAGTTATGTAGGAGGCAATCATGTCCAAACTTGCTCAACACTTTCATACCGCAACCACTGATTTGAGTGATCCTTCGTTTAGACCACACCTATTTTTCTGGAAGGGAATTGATAGCGTAGAAGGTGTTTAGACGTTCACGTTCTGTTTGGATGATGATCTCCATATCGTCGTTCAGATATAGTAGAGATAACTTGACATAGAATCTTGCATATAGAGATCTCGTCAAGTCAAGTTGATCATCATCTGAACTAGGAAGATCATAAATCATGCAAGTCACTATGTAATGTTCATGCAGGATTCCATCGGGGTAGAGTGGATAAATTCCGAGCAAAGGGTTAGGAGAACCCTTTTGAGCTTGAATTCTAAGACTCTTTTCAATTGCTTGGTTGATTTGATTTTGTAGCCAATACTCAGACTTTTCCAACGACTTCATCGGGCTTATTGGCTCGAACGAGATTCCTTTGTCTTTTTCTTTGATAGGTGCTCCGGGAGTGACTTGGAAGAATTTTTGAATAGCAGGGGTCACAAATCCCTCGGAACTTGGGAGAACCATTTATGGTGTCGGGAGATCATCATCTTTGTTGATAGGAGAATCCCTGATCAATCTTTGTAATCATCAGAGAAGGAATCGAAATAGACTTCTATTGAGTGTCTTGAAATGCATCAACATTCAGTTTCATCTTTAACTTAGCCATTTCCATGCTTTCTTTAAATGAGTCGGCAAGATTGGATGGCCAGGCATAGGAAGACCATTTTTTTCTTCTCTTCTTTGGAAAAGGTTCTTCCGAACGAAGGTTGTTCTTTTCCAGATGAAAAGGAAAGCACCACTTTATCACTCGCAACATCTTCATCACTTTCTTCTTGTTCACCATCTCTCCTTTCACCAATAACCATAAAATTATCTTATTCTTCATCAGTCGACTCAACTTTGAGCTTGAATTCCGAGCTTTGTTTCCACCCAATCACCATTTCTCCCCCTCTTGCATGGGCAAGCCCTGCTTTCGATGCAATCAACGCATCATATTTCAGATCGCATATCTTCTCGAACACCCTTTGAAAGCTGATATTGATCTGTTTGGAGAGCTTGTCATACGCATCAATAGTTTGATCATGAGCCTTGAGAGTGTCAAGGGTTTCTTCCATGACAGAAGGACTTCATTAAACTTGTTTATCGGAATGTCCACAAAGTGTTGGGCAGACTGAATCACCTTGATTAACAATTGTTACATAATTGGATTCATGTTATCCTTCGCTCGGATCTCCTTTTCAAGATGTTGGGTTTGTTTTTCATGACACACATGTGTCTACTTAATGAGTTCATTTGTAGCAGTCACTAAGTCGTCATGAACTTTGAGCATTTTAATCATTGTTTCAACATAAGTATCCAAATTGTCCGAGTATCGACGGTTAGATTCTTCAAGAGTATGTTTGAGACGCAAGGAGATGAGTTGATCCAACTGCTGCTCTCGTTATTGTAGTGATGGAGTAGCTGACTTGATTTTAGAACGAGATTTGAGAACCAAATCTAATTTAGCATCAAGTGCATTGACATGATCATTGACGTTTTCTACTTTAGCATCAACTTTGTTGATTTTGTCTTGCATGTCAAGCAAAGTAAAAGGATCTGCTATCTCATCGGAAGATCCAATGTCCGAACTGGATTCACTTTAAGATTGTTCTTCATTATCATCAGAATCATCAGCTCCTTTGACATCATCACCACTTTTGTTTAGATCATCATCACAATCTCCAAAATCCATCTCCTCTGAAGACGATTGAAAGTCGAGATCAATCTGTGGTTTGGAGGAAGAGGCTTGAAGGAATTAAAATATTGTCCTTGAAGGAAGAAGACTCGAAGGATCGACTTGAGTTTTTGTAAACTTAATCTGAACATTAGTATTAAAATTATCATCATGAGGAGGATCATCCGAAACCATATTGGTGAAGGGAACATCTCCTTTAGCTTTTTCACCTGTCTGAGGAGGTTCATCCGAAATTGGCATTGATTCGGGTACATCTTGAAGGGTTTTGAGCATCCTAACAACCTTAAGGTGCACATACAATCCTAAATGCTTTGGATCTATGTTTTCTCTAATTATACATGCAATTTGATTTTCCAAAGCATTACCCTAACTAGCATACAAACATGGGTACTTGTATAACAAAAAACTAGTTAGATGACATACCTTTTCTTGTAGCTTGATTCCTTGGACCTTTAAGATCCTAGCACCCTAAATGTGATGCCTCAAATGCTTCACACAACACCACCAACAATGGAGGACTTGAGAGAGATTGTCTTGCACACAAAATCGACTATAGCTCTTCCAAAGACTAATAGGTGCCGATTTTAGGAGCCAAGGGGGTTCTTATATAGTGTGGCAAAACTAGGGTTACTCCATGTAAACCCTAATGTGCATGACCTTCCATATTCCTTAAGCTCCATGGGTTTAAATGTAACGCCCGTGTTTCTGGGCTACGCATTAGTATAATGATGTAATAGTCAAGGTCAACCATTGTAATCTATTTTGAAGTAATAAATATGAATTACTTGAATATTATGTGAATTATGTGATTTTATGTGCTTATATATTGGTTTATAAAGATATAATAAAAATAAGCGTCGAAAATAAAGTGTTATATAAACCCAATATCTATACATAAAGTTTTAGTGGTCGAAACAAGGATT